GGGTCACTCCTGGTGGGGCTCCGGGAAGGGTGCGGGATGCCAGGGATTGAACCTGGCGCGGGCGTGTGCCAGGCAAGCGCCCTGCCCGCTGTGCCATAGCACCAGCCCCAACTGTCCGGGTTCTTACTGGACTTCAGGACCCCTGGGTGTCTGAGGCCTGTTGGCTTCAGTGGCCTGGCTTGGGCGGTCAGTCAGGGAGGCGGCCTTGCCTGCAGCCCCTGTATGGCTCTTTCTCGTGGACTCCTTCCATTTTTCCATCATCGAACGCCCACATTTCAGGCTTGGTGGCAGTGCTGCTTGGGGTCATCTTATTGCCTGTTTTCTTCAATTTTATGGGAAGGAAAAAGATCGAAAAGATTGGCCGACGTTTTAATAAGAGTAAACTTCTCACCTGATTTCATCCTTCCCATTACATTCCCCGAGAGTCTGAACTGGAGTCCCAGCCCAGACCAATAAGACCCCTCACCCTCTGGCCTGGACGCTGTGGGCGTCTCCCGGTCTGGGTCCCCTCCCTCCCGAAGTGTTTCTGGGTGAAAGGGGGTGTCCCTGCGGCTGCTGGGGGGCCGCGGTGACAGGCTGGCGCAGGAGTGGGAGTGCATCTTGTTCTCTGGGGGGTTGCCGGGGTGGTGGGTCTGGCCTGGACACCTGGGGGATGTCCTCGCCCGAGAAGGGGCGCCAGGGGCCTCGTGCAACCGTCTCCATCCCCACCCTTGTCTAAACTCCTTCCTGGCTGGCAGAATCGGTGCAGAACATGTGTGCTCTCACTGCGAGAGGCCCTGATGGCAGTAGCAGTGCTGACCTGGTGAGCTGCAGGTCGCTCTTCTCTTGAAAGTGCCGCATGGAGGGCCCTGGGAGAGAGGCCGGGCCATGTGCCCGGCTTGGGTCCAAGCCCCAGCACTGCGTTGTGACCTCTCGTGCACCATCGAGTGATGCCCAGGGCTGGTCAGGCAGCGCCATGTGTGCTGGCCCTGGCACTCTACCCGCTGGCTCAGTGGGCCAGGAATCGCCGGGAGTGGGGGTTGCCCCACACTCCCCTGGCCACTGCCTGTGGGCGATGGCCTCCTTGCACAGGGCCGTGGAGTTAGGGACCTGATGCCGCTCACCACCGTGTAGGGTCGGTCGGAGACTCATTTATGGGGATGATCGAATGGGATAGGAAACACACGCCAGAAACTAACAGTACACGCGGCAGAGGGAGAGTTCTGGTTCCCCGTCCCTCAGCATCATGCAGGTGCGTCCTGTATCGCCCGCAGAAATGGGAAACTGTTCCAGGGACAGTGAAGAGTCGGGCCCACTCTGTCCCCACATGTGAATGTCGCTGTGGCTTCAGCCTGTCACTGTCCTCCCTGTGGAGAAGAGTCCAACTTTCATTCCGAGTTTATTACATGTGCTGCCGAAGCCACTTTACTTCCTGTCAGCACCTGGTCCTGGTCCCCTGCGTTTCTTCTGAACTCACGTAAAGTGCATCTTTGGAAGAAAAGCAAAGACCCGTGAGTGAGGTCCCCCGAGGGCAGGGAGGAGAGCCCGGGGCTGTTCCTGGCTTCCTTTAAGTCTATTTGTGGGTTGTGGGAACCTCTGCAAGGTTTCGTAGCCTTGCTGAGGCTACGTAGCATACAGTAAGGCAAATCGATGAACAGCGGGAGGACACGAGTGGGGCCCAGTAACGTCTCCATTATGAGACTTGTTGTTACTGTGTTTGGCACATCCAGTATATCACGGGTAGTTTGCCAGGCTTTGCCGTGCGGGCGAGAGACTCTCAGTAGCTTGCCGGGCTCTCCGAGAGGGGCGGAGAAATTGAACCTGGGTTGACCTGGCTGGCTGCGTGCAATGCAAATGCCCTACCGCTGTACTATCGCTCCAGCTACATTTATAATACGTAGATATTTTTATACATATCTTTTGTTTTTAGTTTTTGGGTCTCACCTGGTGGTCCGCAGGGCTGACTCCAGGCTCTGTGCTCAGGGCTGACTCCAGGCAGTGCTTGGGGGACGTATGGGCTGCCGGGCATCGAACCTGGGTGAGACATGTGCAAGGCAGCACCTCACCTACTGTATCTCTCTGCCTTGTTCTGACTGGGTCTGACTGGGAGGGAGGGAGGGAAGGAGGGAGGGAGGGAGGGAGGGAAGGAAGACAGAAAGTACCCTGCTCCTGGTGTGTGTAGCACATGGGTGTGAGGCTACAGAAAATCACCCCTGGGGCAGAAGTGGAACCCGGTTACCCTCCTGGAGGTGGATGATGACTTGTCCAAAGCACTGGGCTCTCTCTGTGCCCTTGGGCACCGGGGGTGTGTGGGGGGTGGGGTTGGGGGGAGTTGGACTCTTCTGCTCGGGAAGGACTTTGGGTCAGTGGTTTGGGCTTCAGGGATTTTGTCGGGGGGAAGCCAGGCTGAGACCGGCCAGCACTTGGTGTTTGCTGGCTTCTGCCCGCCTTTGTCCCGTGGTCCGCTAACCCAGATCCCGGCTTTGTCCCCTCCGGATGTTATCGCCCCGAGGAGCCAGTCAGGCCCGGAGTCCCAGGGCCACCGCAGGGATCAGCTTGCGCCTCTCTCGGGTGTCGCCTTTCTGTGCCACCCGGGCACCCTCCCGGGCCAGCTGCGTCATCCTTCCTGGTGTGGCTGGATTGTGTGACCAGCCCCGGAGAGGAAACGGGCCACCGTGTGGCACATTCCGGGGCCGTGTCACCGGCACTCAGGATGAGGTCAGTGCTGTGCCCCGTGTCCTCAGCTGCAGACGGCCGCTGTGTCCCTCGAGGTGGCCAGAGCGCCGTGCTGAAAAGGAGGCCCCCATTAACAAGCTCTGGGGCTGTGGGGCTCAGGGAGGGAGGGGACAGATGGCGTGTCCCACCGGCCTCATCCGCCCCTGTGTGCCACGGTTGTTCGGGGACCCTCTGACACTGTGTGTGCGGGCTCGGCGGGGAAGGGCCTTCAGGAGGTGGACCCACTCCTGGTGATGCTGCCCAAGTATCAGCTTTGGTCGCTAGGGACAGTCAGGGGGCAGTGTCCTCCTTCCTCTCCCCGGCCTGGTGACTTGGCTCCTCATTCATTTCTGCCTCTGGGGTCGCCTTGCCCTGGCCCAGGGGAAGCGTGTCTGGAGCTGTGTGGAGCCCTGGGGCCACTTCTCCTTCCTATGCAGGGTTGTCCAGATGGAGCTTGTGAGCAGGAAGCTGCCCACCCCGTCCCATGGCACCCAGACCCCCACTCATGGCCCGTCGGAAGCCCTGGGTGCACAGGGAGGACCTGGCTCCCGTGACAACATAGACAAAGCATGAGTCCCTGATGAGTGGCGCGCAGGAGACTGCATCTGTGCAGAGAAGGGAGGCCTGGCCCGAGCACCCAAGGCCCGACTGGGGTCCAGACTTAGGGGCGTGAGCCGTAGCCTTGTTCGGTGGGAGATGGGGCGGTGATGGCGGCTTTTGTTGTAAGGACTTGGTCTGGGTCAGTCCTAAGTGAGGCCGCGTGCTGCCCCGGGATGGTTCTCCCAGGGAGCTGCAGGTAGCAACGATGTGATGGGGGTGAGGGCCGGGGACTAGGAGGCTCAGGTAGAGACCGTAGGACAGGGAGTGAAGGGGGACCCCAGGGCTCAAGGGGCCAGGCCGGAGAATGGTGGGAGTCACTGACCTAGACTCCCTGCTAAGGGGTGAGGGTTTTTTTTGGGGGGGGGGTCACACCAGTGCTACTCTGGGGTTGCTCCTGGTGGTGCTCGAGGGACCATTTGGGATGCCAGGGATTGAACTCGGGTCGACCTCGTGCAAGGCAAATGCCCTACCGCGTGTATAATTGCTCCAGCCCCAGTGTAAGATTTTCTGAGGCAGGAAATTGGGCGGGGGTTGGGGGGGGCGCACCTCACAGTTCCTGGCGTCAGCCAAGAGTTGGCATGACAGTTACATTGCACATTTTTGCCCCTTCTCTTCCTTAAAAGGCATGGGGCAGGAATGATAGCACAGCGGGTAGGGCGTTTGCTTTGCTTGCGGGTGACCCGGGTTCGATTCCCAGCATCCCATATGGTCCCCCAAGCACCGCTAGAGGTAATTCCTGAGTGCAGAACCAGGAGAAACCCCTGTGCACCGCCAGGTGTGACCCAATCACAAACAAAATCACAAATCATCCTGTTATTCGTCGATTGCCTCGAGCAGGCCCCAGTAACGTCTCCTTCATCCTAGCCCTGAGATTATATTCAAGGCTCTTTAGGAGAATGAGACCCATCATTGTTACTGGTATTTGGCATATTGGGTACGCCATGGACCCAAAAAGGGAAAAAAAAGGCAGCTGAAGTGGGTAAATGCTCCTTTTTCTGGCCCCTTTTTTCTGACCCCTCTGGGAGCCCATGTTTGGACCACTCTGTGTGCTGGGGTGTGTGTGCTATGGTGTGTGTGTCCTGCAGTCTGCAGGGGTGTTTGTGCTGTGGTGTGTGTGCCGTGGTGTGCAGGGGTGTGGAATGCATTCCCTGTCCTTGCTCTCACGTTCCCACCATGTCCGTGATTCTCCAGCCCCCAGGAAAGAGCCTTGGTGCCGTGTGGGCTCTCTCATAGTGCCCGCTGGTCCTTCAGGAAACGGAGGGAGCCTCTGGAGAAACTCCCGCAGGGTGGGAGCTGTGCGCTCAGCAGCCAGGTGTGAGGCTTGCCTGCATCAGGCCTGGAGTCAGTTCCCGGCCCTGCAGAGCAGATTCCTCCAAGCGTCTCGTTCCTGCTCTTTCCCTTCTCTGTCACCATCTTCTCCCTGCCCACAGGTGGTTGTCATTCATGGGCGACAGGCCTCGTCTTATCCTTCTTGGTGTTTTCTTGTTCTGCGGTCAAACACACAACCACAAGCCCGTTTTGTTTTGTTTTTCCTCTCCCCATAGAGACCTCACCTGTTTGTCATTTCTGTTTGTTCCACGAGAGTGCATTGAGGATGGAATTAGATGAATCGAGTAGATTTGATGACTCCCTCCCCGCTCTGGCCTGGTGCCCTTTCATCCCCTGAACCCAGGTTTTTACGTTCTGTCTCTTCCTCTCTCCTGTAGGCTTTGCGGACTGGGGCGAACTGTTGGCACGAGGGAGCGAAGGTGACGACGAGTAACGGGATGCCCCAGCGGCCCGTGAGCATCTTCCCTTGTGCCGTGCCGACCACAGCCGTGGCTCTGTGAAGCCAGCGTGGACCAAGCCCTGGGCACAAGCGAGCTCATCATCGACACAGGTGACCGAGTGAGCTCATCATCGACACAGGTGACCAGGAAAGCACCATTTACTCGGAGGCCCTCGCCGAGATGGGTTTAACTCTCGCCCCGCCAGTGCACGCCAAGCTGACCTCACCCGGCCGTCGTGCAATGCCGCGGCTGAGCCTCTGAGCGCACCAGCATTACCTCATCGTGGCCAGTGCAGGGAGGAGGTGGGAGAGCGCCCGCCTGCTGCCATGGCCCAGGACATGACCGGGACCCACATCGTGACGGAGAGGCTGGTGGCCCTGCTGGAGAGCGGGACGGAGAAGGTGCTGCTCATCGACAGCCGGCCGTTCGTGGAGTACAATACGTCGCACATCCTGGAAGCCGTCAACATCAACTGCTCCAAGCTCATGAAGCGGCGGCTGCAGCAGGACAAAGTGCTCATCACTGAGCTCATCCAGCACTCGGCGAAGCAGAAGGCGAGTGGGCACCGCCTTGGCCGGTGGGGTGGTGGTGGGGGGAGGCGATGGGGTGGGAGGGGGGGTTGCTTTTTTACTTCTTAGGTGGTGATGCCTTCAGATGCCTGAAAACGGTTTCCTGATCCTTTGGTTACATTTCCAAAAAAATTAAGTTGTTTTCGTTGGGCCAAGTCACCCGCTTTTCTGTGGATATCGTATTCATTTTGATAATAGTTAGAAGAGCACCAGTCACTATGACCCACGTCTTGCGCTATCTGTCCACACTTTTGCTGAAAAGAAAGCAGTCTGAGGGCTGGAGTGATGGCGCAGCGGGTAGGGCGTTTGCCTGGCACGCGGTCGACCCAGGTTCGATTCCCAGCATCCCATAGGGTCCCCCGAGCACCGTTGGGAGTAATTCCTGAGTGCATGAGCCAGGAGTAACCCCTGTGCATCGCCAGGTGTGACCCAAAAAGCAAAACATCAACAAAAACAACGTCAACAACAAAAAGACTTCCCCCAGAGGAAGGGAAACCCAGATGTGTGTCTGTGATGGTAAAGGCCATTTCTTTTCCTCAGGAATAACACGAGTTCATTCATTTGACCGAACAGCAGCTTTCTTCATCATTACACAGAAATCGCTAAACCGTTTTATGCTATTTTGCATATAGAGATATCTTACAAGTCTTCACCTTTCATTGTTAAGGATTGAAGTGCCGAGGCAGGGTGATAGCGCAGCGGATAGGACACTGGCCCAACTCGAATTCCAGCACCCCGTCTGGCCCCCTGAGACCGCCCCCCCACCCAGGACTGTTGCTGAGTGCAACTTCAGGAGTAAGCCCTGAGCACCACGGGGGTGATCCAAAGCCCGGAGCCCGGGGCTCAGGTCTGTAGCGGCTGCCCAGGGGCCTGGATAGCTCAGAAAAGCAGGCAGCGCTGTTTCCTCAGACCCCTGGCACTCTCGGCCCTGCCCCTCACAGTCCCCCCGTGCCTTGCAGGTGGATGTTGACTGCAGCCAGAGGGTCGTGGTGTACGACCAGAGCTCCGAGGATGCAACCTCGCTGGCCCCCGACTGCTTCCTCACCGTCCTCCTGGGGAAGCTGGAGAAGAGCTTCAGCAACGTGCACCTGCTTGCAGGTAAAGGCAGGGGCGGGGCAACTGGCCACACCAGCCACGTGATTTCGCCCCCCACCCCCCAGCCCCACTCCTGGCCTCCCACGACTTCCTTTCAGCTCCCGTTTAACTCGAATCCTGTCATTCTCCTTCAGGGCGCGCGTGTTCTTTTTGGGTCACACCTGGCAATGCACAGGGGTTACTCCTGGCTCTGCTGCATTCAGGAATGACTCCTGGTGGTGCTCAGGGGACCATATGGGATGCTGAGAATCGAACCCGGGTTGGCCGCATGTAAGGCAAACACCCTACCTGCTGTACCATCTCTCCAGCCCCTGGGCACGTGTGTTTTTGCCTCTCTCCTCTCCTCAGTGTCTGTCAGTGCCACGTGGGCAGGGGTTTCTCCACTTGCCCGTGCTCGGAGAACCCCAAAGACCGTCCTTCTTGGCCCCCACTTCCTGCTCACCTCACACAGCACAAAGCCTGTCGGGGTCACCGCATCCCAGGCCTGTTAAGTGTTTGGAGTTGAAGCGGATGCCCAGAGTTTTCTCCCCCTTTCTTGAACGTGATGAGCAGCAGAGAGGGCAAGGCCACAGAGATCGTGGTTTCCGATAGGGGGGAGCTGTTCCATGCTTTTACTTTATTTATTTATTTTGTTTTTTGGGGAGTCATACCCAGTGATGCACAGGGGTTACTCCCAGTTCTGCACTCAGGAATTACTCCCGGCGGTGCTTGGGGGACCCTATGGGATGCTGGGAACCGAATCTGGGTCAGCCACATGCAAGGCAAACGCCCTACCAGCTGTGCAATTGCTCAAGCCCCTATTTTGTATTTATTTATTTTTTTGAGGGCCACACCCGCCGGTGTTCGGGCTTAGTCGTGGCCCTGCACTCAAGGATCATTCCTGGCGGGGCTCACGGAACCCCATGGGATGCCAGGAATTGAACCCAGATCGGCCGTGTGCAAGGCATGACACTCTGACAGCTCTCGTAGAGTCCCTCAGCCCTGATTGGGTGCGTGTGTGCTCATGCCGGCCTCTCGAATCGCATCAAGGGACTTGGGAATCTCCCTTTGGGGCCTTCATGGCGTCTCTTGAGACATGCTGCCCACCGAGTGGTGACCGCTGAGCCCTAGGAGAGGAGCCTGGGCTTGAGCAGTTCGAGTGCCCACAAGGGCCTGGCCTGGTGCTTTCATCCCAGGTCCTCGTTATCGCCCACCCAGGGGCACTGCTGTGTTTCCAGAAGGTTCGTCGGAGGGAGGGAAAGAACTCTACCTGGAGAGCTGGACACTCCCGGGGATGACCCCAGATCACAGTTCCCCACCTGGACACGAGTCCTCGGGACTGCTGACAGCCCCATCCATGCTCTGGAACCTTCTGCTTCTCTCAGCAGAGGGGGCGGGTGTTGCTTCTAAGTCTGAATCGCCGTTGGACAGTTTCCGAGCAGCCGAATGGCCCGTGACAGCCTAGAGCTGTTTGTTCTTGAGCCTTCGGAACCATCCAGAAGCCTCTGCGCACCAGGCAGTGAGTGTGTCTGGCCAAGGGCAGGGAATCAGAGCCGCAAAGAGAAGGCCAGGCCAAGGTCTGGTGGCCACCCTGCTGGGCAGTCACTTCGAGGACCTTTGGGAAGTGGGGACGAAGGACACGCTGGCTTCTGATATGATCGTCAGAGAAAGCCCTGACCACAGCAGAACTGACCGGGCTTGCAAGGTTCGGGCTTGCAGCCGTCCCCAGGCCACCTTAAAGCTTTGGCCATGCGGTCGGGAGTCCCAGAGCATCTTCCAGAGGGACAGATGGGACAGACGTTGCCCTGGTAATCGGCACCCAGGCTTTGCAGCAGAGACGGCCAGAGGTGCTGCTCTGCAGTCAGCCTTCACCTCTCCGCGGATGGCTGTGTCCCTTCCTTCGCGGCACGGAGGCGATCTTGGCGCCAAAGAATTCTCCAGCTCATTGCTGCGTTCACAGACCTTCAGGCCATTTTTGTAGCAGATCTGATTTTTCTTTCCTTTTTTTTTTCTCTTGCTTTTTGGGTCATATCCAGCGATGCTCAGGGGTTCCTCCTGGCTCTGCACTCAGGAATTACTCCTGGCGGTGCTCGGGGGACCCTATGGGATACTGGGAATCGAACCTGGGTTTGTTGCATGCAAGGCAAACGCCTTAGCCGCTATGTTATCGCTCGAGCCCCATAGCATATGTGATTTTTCAACTAGAATCTCATCAGGGAAAATCTCACTCACGAGACTTGCTTGCGTGGCATCCCAGGCCGAGACCCAGGCATCACGGAAGGCCATCTCCTTGACCGGCGACCCCCCACCCCGACCCTGTGGAACAGAGCGGGCAGCTGTGCCAGCCCTATGTCCCGCTCATAGACAGGCTCTGTGCCCAGCCTTCAGGCATGAGGCCCAGCGGTGTTGGTGGGACAGTGACCTTCCTTCCTCGCTGGGGACGGTGGGCAGCCCAGAGAGGGTCTGTTGCTGGGGGAAACCCTCGAAAGCTGCGAGCCGCGGTCCATGGGGAGCTGCGAGCTGCGAGCGTCACAGAGCGAAGCCGGAGGCGTGACTGACCAGCAACTCACGGACGGCCGCAGCTTCTCCTGCTGGACTTCGACGATTCCCTCTCCAGGCCAGCTTCATCCTCACCGACTGACTGACTCGTTGAGTTGTGGGCATCTGAAGACACAGCCAGCAGCCCTTCCCCCATTGGGGCCATTGGGGCGTTGGTTTCCCAAGAAACAGGCCCTGACGCTGTCAAGCAGACTCTGGACATGGCCACTGTGGTCCTGAGCACTGGGGCCGCCAGAGCATGAGCTCCAATACCCCCACACGGCTGGGGTTGACCAGAGCACTGTTACATGTTTCAACTTCTTTTTTCCTTGCGTCGCCAAAACCTGTTTCTCTTGCCCCAAGAAGCTCCCCTCTCTCTCTCCCTGAAGCTGGGCATTGTGGTCTCCGGATAGGAAGGACCTTCGGGGCCCCCACCCATGCCAGTGTAGCTTTCGGCTTTGAATGGAATCAGGAAATCCTTTCGAACACAAAAATACACAAGACTGATGTCCATCATCAGCTATTCACTGTGGCGGGGACGGAGCCCGTACACAGTTGCTGCCTTCTGATGGTGCGCCAGGTCCCACACGCGGCAGGCGCTCACAGAGGCATGCAAGCCGCTCTTCTCCCCCACAAGCTGTCCACGGTGCGTTTTTCCCCAACGAGCCATCCACGGTGCGTTCAAGCTGGAGAAGCAGGCAGTCACCCAGGCGGGGGCCGCAGATGCCTCCCCTCGTGGTTGCTCTGATGTTCTCAAGCGTTTGAATTCCTCACAGCACACCTTGACGTGCTGCTTGGGGAAGTGTTGTATTTTTTTTTGGTTGTTGTTTGTTTTTACTGGGGAATGAGATCCATTGTAATTACCCATTGTAATTGTAAGAGCCGAGCCAGCGTATTGATGAGTGCTGACGGCAGGTTCTTCAGGTGTTCAGGTCTGACCTTGTCTGGGCCGGGTGCTGTTCGTTTCTTTACCGACGAAATGGCTCGTCGGAGTTCAGAGTTCCGACCTCCGTCGACGATCAAGAATCAGGGACGCTGTCTCGTTTGCCAAGGCGTCGAAAATCAGATGGGCCGGACACATAATGAGATTTGGAAACGACCGCTGGATTAGAGCTGTTACCGACTGGATTCCACGGGATGTCAAAAGACCGCGTGGCCGCCCGCCTACCAGATGGTCAGACTTGTTCATCAAGATCCTGAACGATCGGTTTGAGGCTCTTCGTGTTCCTAGAACGAACAGACGCCATTGGGCTACACTAGCACGGGACAGGGACAGATGGAGACGTTACTGGCGCCCGCTCGAGCACATCGATGATTACTGGGAAGTCGAGTGATCAAGTGATCAAGTTTGTTTTTAATGCCACAGGATAGAATTGAAACTCGTTTTGGTGTTGAGTGTCTGTGGGGTTCTGAAAGATTGGGTGGGGTAATTGTTTACTCATCCCTATTGCAAAAACAACCTCACGTGGGGTCTGGAGCGATAGTACAGCAGGGAGGGTGTCTGTCTGCCTTGCCTGCAGCCGACCCAGGTTCAATCCCCGGCATCCCATATGGTCCCCCCAGCACTACCAGGAGTAATTCCTGAGCATTGCCAGATGTGACCCAAAAGAAAAACAAAAATAATGTCACCCATGTCCTCGGTGGGTGAGCGGAGACTGTTTGCTCCCGGGATGGATCACAGGACCGGATGGAGACCCTCGGCGTTAGCAGCACAGAACTGAGTCTCTCCTGACAGGTGGAGAGGAGGGAGCGCACCTCCGAGCAGCATTTCTCACCAGCCTCTGGATGGCAGCCCCCAGAATATTCCAAGGGGGCCATAGGTGAAAATCACATAAATGGGGGGACCATGGTTCGAGATTAGGGCACCAACTGGGAGGACAAGACATGGGCCTCCACAGGAGAGGAAACAGGATCAGGAATTTGTTGAGAAACATGAACTTAGTGAATAGACTGGGATCTTGACTGAGAGTTTTAGATTTAGTTTGTTGGTGTTTGGAATCATAGAATAAATCAAAACTTAGTTTTAGGATTTGAGTGCTATATTTATTTATTTATTATTTTTTTGCTTTTTGGTCACACCCGGCGATGCACAGGGGTTCCTCCTGGCTCTGTACTCAGGAGTTACTCCTGGCGTTGCTCAGGGGACCATATGGGATGCTGGGAATCGAACCTGGGTCGGCCGCGTGCAAGGCAGACGCCCGGCCCACTGTGCTATCTCTCCAGCCCCGAGTCTTTGAAGATAAGCAAAGGAGGTTGAAACGTTGAATTGGTAGCATATTAATTATGGGATGAAGCTTTGATTTTGGTGAAAATCAGCAGGTGCCATCTTCCCTGAGTCCTCCGTCCGTGTGATGGCAGAAGATCCTGCCACTTGCAAGGAGATCGGTTATGGCTGGCCGCTCTGCAGGACGCACCTGCCTGTGCTCCTGCTCAGGCCGACCGAAGGGCAGTTCCAGCCCTGCCCCTTCGGAATTATTGTTCTGATCGTATGGCATGGAACAGTCTGTCAGCCTTGATTAAGAGCCCGGTGTGTGTGCGTGCTTGTGTGCATGTGTGTGTGTGTTCGTGTGTGTGTGTGTGTGCGCACGTGTGTGTGTGTGTGTGCGCACGTGTGTGTGTGTGTGTGCGTGCGTGCGTGCGTGCGCGCGCGTGCTATGCTGAAAGGAGTGTGGACCATACTTTAAGAGAAGAATACAGTTAGGTACTGTCGGTTTGAAAGATTGATTTGAAGATACAGTAACTCCACATATACCTCCGTTTCCTAAAACACTACAAAAAAATAGTTTGATTCTGCTATTCTACTGGAGCTGGGTAACAGTGCCTTGAGAACTAGAAACTAGATCATCTGAATTACGAGAAAGTAAAAGCTTCCTTATCATAGTACGTCGTAATTTTTTATTGGCGACTTCCTTAATTCATTTGTGGTACATGTCATCGCGGGGTGATTACAGGATGGGATAACCACCCTGTTCCCTGCCTGTTTCTTGTTTCTTCAGCCTTCCAGCCGTGGCCTCTTCCACCCTGGTTTCCATCCTGCCGCCTGCCCCGCCCCCCCCCCCCAACCTTAGGTCTCCTGGTTTCATGCCTTTTTTCCCCATTTATGACATTTTCCACCCCAGGGCCCCCGTGGGATATGCTGGGAAGCAGGGGGTGGGGGGTCTGGTTGAAGAATGCTGCTTTCAGCGACCAATTGGATGCTGGCTACTTGGTCGGCGAGGGTCTCCTCCTCAGTGCTTTGCAGCCCACTTTCTCCTCAGTCTGATGGTGGCGGTGGAGTGGATGGGTCAGTGTTTCAGTCTATGCCCAGCCGTGAGCACAGCCCAGTCTCCAGTGCTGGCAGAGTGGGGGACGGGAAAACAAGTGAGGATCAGTTCTGGGTAGAATTAGGGTTTTCTTGTTTTCCATGTTGCTCGGTGGACGCCATCGGAGAAGCTGGCCACCTACGATACAGACTGCGGCAGCGCAGGAAAAACGGGTTCAGGAATGTGGCCTGCATGTGTGGCCTGGTTTGCCCAGAGCAGCCTGGCGGCCTGGGAATCCGAGGTCCACGTTGGGGTTTGGGGCTCACAGCTGCACTGCCCGTGCTTTGCTCTTCAGGTGCCACCTGTCCTTGTGTCCAGTCTGCTAGCCCTGAAAAGAACTGTGACCATGTTCTGTCGAGTCTGGAGTATGTGGCAGAGAACAGACTCATAGCAGTCACGTCCAACGTGCACACTGGCGCACGCGGGTTCCCCCAGGACGTGTCTTGGCGACCCAACGCTCTCCCGGGAATTTCGGCCAACAGACCAGGGCTTCTCACTGCTCGGTCTCAAGAACGCGGTGGTGTGTGGTGGGGCTTGGGGACCTCCAGGGAGGCACCTGGCAATCCTTGAGGGACCCTATGGTGCCAGGGACTGAACCCAGGTGGGCTGCACCCATCGTGCCCACCCCAGCTTCTGTGCGCCGCCCCCCCAACCTCAGCACTTGCATGCCAACGTCATGTTGTCTGTGCCATGCAGAGGTAAAGCCCAGGTCTTGCCTCACCATGCAGAGAGCTGTCCTTCCTTCAGGGGGGCAGGTGACGCTTCTGAAACCCTGCACCTCTGTTCTGCAGGGAGGAGAGGACGGATTAAATTTATGTCACAAACGGGGAATCTCTGCTTGATGAAGAAAAAAACGAAACTACCTAAGAACTATTCTAAAACTCTAAAGCCCTGAGTGGCAAAAGTGATTTAATAAATTAGCACATCCTGTAAAGTAGAGCTTGGTGTAAAGCCGGTTTCTGTAGCTCTGTGTGGAAGCCGTTCACGCCGTGAGGCTATTGCGGTTGACAAATGCTTCTACCTTTGGTCCCCCTTGTCCTCTGGTAAAGCTCTCTCTGTTGCTGCTTGTTTAGAGTGAAGGGTCAGGGGTAAAGTCCCCCAGGCACTCCCCAAACCCTTCACCCCACCCCAAGAACCCCGCACAGCGAAACAACTCGGAGGAGTTGCCTCTGGCTTGATTGGGAGGAGAGGAATCCAGTCCTAGAGTTTAGGATTTAAAACTTTTGCTTGTTGGTTTTGGGGTCCCACCTGGCTGTGCTCAGGGCTTACTCTAGGCTCTGTGTCCAGGGATCACTCTTGGCGGGCTTGGGGGGACTCATGGGCTGTCAGGGATGGAACCAGACCGATGTCCTCTCCGTTGTACTGTGTCCCCTGCCCCCTAGGGACCTAAACTTTCCAAGCCGTCGATAAATTGGTAGCCTTAATAAACTGCTTTCATGCCTGTGGAAATGCTCTTTTCTCCTAAGGAAGAGACCACCGCGTGGGTTGCGGGGGGTGCAGAGAGCTGCGTTGGGGTAACCGGCAGAGCTGTGAGGGACCTTGTCTCTGAGACGGTGGCCGGGGGGCGGGGGGCTCAAGGTCATCACCCCTGACCTCAGGAAGTAGCTTCCTCCCTGCTCCCTGGCCTCTGCAGGAAGGAATTAGGATACCAGAGAAGCGCTAAATGCCTTCCAGCTGGCCCCTAGTGTCCTCCATGCAGATCAGTAGCTGACGTGGGGATGGAGAGACGTGTCCTGCCTTTGGGGCTCTTGGGGGGGACACGCAGTCTCCTGGGGATGTGAGCAGGGCAGACTGGCCACAGCCCGGCAAGCGCAGCGGGCACACGTGTCTGTCTCCTGCTTCCCTCCTCTCCTCTGCGGCAGGTGCCACCGTCCCTGGCTGCGGGTATGGAGGGAACGGAGCTGCGTGCCCCAGAGCCCACCAGGCTGCTGAAGAGACCCCAGGAGGCGGTGAGGGCGAGCAGGGAGTCACATTCTTGATCCGGTTTTCAAAGGACGTTTGAAGCCTTTTCAAGAGCCGTATCAGGGTTTCAGGCCGGCCTTTGACAATGAACAAAGGAGGGGTGCGCGGTGACGTCACACGGTGTCAGCTACCCGAGTCCCCTGGGCGCTGGGTCGGGTGCCCGGAGATCTCCCCGCGGATGACCTAGATGGGCCGTGTTCCTCTTACCCAGAGCAGGGACACAGCATTTTTCAACACTGACGCGCTCGTGAGCCCGCAGCGTTTCTCAGAGGCTTCGGGGAAACCGGGCAGTGTCGCATCTGGTGCTAATTAAGGCCCCGGAACCAGGTCACTGAGTACAGCGATGAATGGAAGGGCAGCGGATGGAAAAAGCTGTGAATGGGCGGTGGGGGGGGGGGGGAGGAGAGCAGAACTCCCCACCCGGAGATGAGCATCAGGGACCATGTGCTCGGGGGGCGCCCGGGAGCCCCGCTCTGGACCCTCCTGGCCCATGGGCACTGCCCGAGCACAGGGCCCAGCCAGTTCTGTGAGCTGCTCTGAGGCGACGACTGGGCCCGGCCTGAGAAGCGTTTCCTCTCTGTTCCTCTTTGTTCCGTGGCGTCTGCTGGGGGTTCTTGCTGCCGCTTTGCATTCTAATTTGGTTTTAGTTCTTCCTCTCACCTGGTGTTTTGTCTCTCTTTGTGCTTTCTGGAGCCTTCAGGGGCTCAAGGGGTCAGTAAGGCGGGACGGATCTTCCTCTCGGGAAACTATCCTGGGGTGCAGCCTCACTCACAGTTCCCCCACCCCAGACTCCTCGCTGGCACAGTACATTGAACGGACCGACCACTTTGGGGCGGTGGTGGGGAAAGGCCCAGGGCAATGGGCGGCCACCCTTGGGGACCTGGCTGGCACCCCATCTGTCCCCAACCTCGACAGAGGACATGGACCCATGTGGCATTCTTGGAGCAGCGTCTCAGAGCCGGGCAGTGTGGGGCGGGCTCCTCGCTCTGCCCAGGAAAACCCCACGTCTTTCTGAACCTCTGTTTTCTTCTCGGGAAATAGACATTGTAGTAGCCCCTGTCTCGGCGATCATAAAGATTAAAACTAATCTGGGCGCTGGAGCAGTAACACAGTGGGTAGGACGTTTGCCTTGCACGCGGCCAACCCGGGTTCGATTCCCAGCATCCAGTGTGGTCCCCCGAGAACCGCCAGGGATAATTTCTGAGTGTAGAGCCAGGAGTAACCCCTGAGCATCACTGGGTGTGACCCTTAAACCAAAAAAAAAAAAACAAAACCCCATTAAAAAACTCATTTGACAAGTGCTCAGTGCAGAATGGTGCTGAAAACAATTTGTGAGTGGGGGTGGGGGGCGGGAGCCACACCTGGCGATGCTCAGGGGTTACTCCTGGCTCCGTGCTGAGGAATCATGCCTGGCAGGCTCGGGCACCATATGGGTTGCAGGGGATCGAACCCAGGTCAGTCACATGTGAGCCGCGTGGCCTCCTTGCAGTCCTACCGCCCCCTATGACTGTTCTTAAGGACAGTCGCAAACTACAGATGAGCTCAGGTGGGCCGCCCGGTGGCTCTTCTTTGCAGGAACATGCACTGCAGGGTTGTTTCGTGGGATCTGAGTACTTAACGATCTTCTGCAGGAACTGCTTGGGGGCTGGAGTGGAGAAAAACAAAATACACTGAAAGCCTCTGAGCTCACGCACCCCGTCCCCTGGCACCCTGGGGCGGCGGTCTATCTGTCCACCCGTCGCGACCCCCTTCCTGGGAAGGGTCTGCGGCCTGACTGTGCTCTTTCTCTCTCTCTCTCCACAGGTGGCTTCGCCGAGTTTTCCCGCTGCTTCCCCGGCCTCTGCGAAGGGAAGGCCGCCGTGGTCCCCACCTGCATCTCCCAGCCCTGCTTACCTGTGGCCAACGTCGGGCCCACCCGGATCCTCCCCAACCTCTATCTCGGCTGCCAGCGGGATGTCCTCAACCAGGTAGGTACTCCCCCGGACGTCCTCCTCCAGGGGGCGCTGTGTCCCAGACACCCCAATCCTTGGGGTGCAGCGGACAGCCTCCCACATGGGACTCTCCCCGGCAGTGCTCGGAGGTCTGGGTGTATTGTGTGTGTGGCGGGGGCTGCCAGAGCTGCACCCAGCATTGTAGGGGCTCAAGGGGCGCAGGGAGCAGGGGTTGGAACTGGCGCTCCAGCCCTTTAAAGGCACTGTCTCCCCGGGTTATCACTGGGAACCGAAATTGTCGCCTAGGCCAGTCACCGCGGGGCACGGGGATACCAGAGACGAGAAGTGAGACGGTCCTTCCCAGGGTGTGCTGGACTTCCTCGGGGGTCCCCGTGCCTTCATGGGGTCTCAGGGACCAGCAGGAAGGCTGGGGACTCCCGCCGGATCCACATGGAGAAAAAGTTCCGTGACGGCCGGACCCGCTGGGGAGGGTGATGGTGGCTGCCTGGGAGCACGGACTTGAAAAGGCTGTGGGCTCTGCCCATTGTGGGCGCGCCTTGCCTTTGCCCCTGCCCCAGCCCCCCGGAACCCACATCCACCCAGCAGGGAGGCCACAGCTCTAGGGAGGCTCGGAGGGTTAGGGGAGAGAGACAAAAGAAAAAAAAACAGTAAAGATCATCATTTTAAATAAAATTTAAAAACACGGTTTTTTTTGGCCTTACAATGACTATATTTGGAATGGTAACTTAAATGCATATTGATACTAGAATCTCCCCCAGCCACGGCCTTGTTTGTCTCGTGTTTGGACAGAACCACACCTCAGGGTGCCCCGGGGCAGCTCCCGAACCTGTGCGATGGTTGGGGGACCAGGTGGAGCCGGGGGGCAAACTCGGGCCCCTGGGTGCCCTCTGGCCTGCAGAGGAAGTGGCCCAGCACGGCTCCAAGTTCCACACCGGGCAGCGGGTGCAGGGCCATGGCAGGGAGGGCACCGTTTGCTGGGCTGTGCCCATTTCACACGCCACACTGAGGCCAGGCGGGGTCCATCTTCAGAAGGTCTCTGTGGGCTGGTGGGAAGTCATTGGCTGCCACGTGTGGATGAAAGTGACCGTTAACTCTGGAAAGCAGGTAGACCCTTCCCTGCAATAATAGTGGCCGGAGAGAGCATCAGCAGAATGAGCTAACGGAATAATTGTAGGAATTTTCAGGAGAAACTCGAACTTTCTGCCCAGTGCTCTCCCCACCCAAGCCGACCCCGGGCAGAGTGCTCACAACCAGGCAGTGGGATTTGTTCTCAGACCTGCTAGACTTTAGCAGATTAATTACCTTAATTAAAATATTCTATTTTCTTACAATTTAGTTTTATTGTAATATTTTTTTGTGAAATTGAACATAGAAACCACAAAATAATGAGAATTTTTTATGTTTTATAATTTTATGTGTTTGAGAGAAATTAAAATCTCTTTGCTTATGAATGTTATAATCACTTTATAAAAAACTAATAAAAAATTGGCCTTTATCATGAAAAAAAAATATTCTAGGTCCTCAGGAGACAGGAACGAGGGAAGAAAAGTTTTTGTGTGTGACCTAACTTGAATGTTTATAATTTATGTATTTTGTCTTTGTGGGTCACACACGGTGATGCTCAGGGGTTACTACTGGCTTTGCACTCAGGAATTACTCCTGGCGGTGCACTGGGACCATATGGGATGCTGGGGATCGAACCCGGGTCAGCCACATGCAAGGCAACTAAACTTGAATGTTTAAGCAAGATTCAGCGAAGACAGGTTGCTGTATTTCCCCCTCACCCCCCTGAAACTAGAGGGAGTGAGGTGAGTGAGACATTCCGGGACAGTGAGAGTCTGCTGAATCCCAAGTTCCTGCTCTTTTCTAAGGAAACTGCATTTGGGAGATGCCCTAGGTTGTGGTTGCCAAGACTCTCACTGAGCGAACCTTGCAGGCGCCTTTAATGTTCCCTGTCCTGTCACCCCAGCCCTGGTGCCAGCCAAGCCGCCGATGGGAGCCTTGTTCTCTGTCAGCTGTACTATTTTCTCTTTCTTTCCTTTTTCCCCCTTCTTTTTCGGTCACTCCTGGCTCTGCACTCAGGAATCACTCCTGGCGGTGCTCAGGGGACCATATGGGATGCTGGGAATTGAACCCAGGTCGGCTGCATGCAAGGCAAACGCCCTACCCGCTGTGCTATCGTTCCAGCCCCAGTTGTACTATTTTCAGTCCCCGTTTTTGTCCTTACAAGGTGGCTGCTGTGAACGTGCGTCTCTGGAGTATCACAGCATGTGGGGGTGGGGGCAGGGTCAGGGCACTGTAATGGTGCTTGGGGATATTGTCCGTGGACCGAACTTGCTGTTGTCATGGCGTCAGAGTCCCTCCATGGTGGCTGCCTTCCCCCCCCACCCCGCAGGACCTGATGCAGCAGAACGGGATTGGCTACGTGCTGAACGCCAGCAGCACCTGCCCCAAGCCCGACTTCATCCCCGACTCGCACTTCCTGCGCGTGCCCGTGAACGACAGCTTCTGCGAGAAGATTCTGCCGTGGCTGGACAAATCGGTGGATTTCATTGGTGAGTGTTGTGCGGGTTGTCCTGTTCTCCCTGGGTGGTGTTATACGTGCCCATGGTGGGGGTTTGGCCGCCCTTCTTTGATCCTTCAGCAAGAGGCATCCATGCTGGAGATATCAGAAGCCTGGGCATGGCCAAGGTGCCATCCTGTGTGTGTTGCCCTCCCCCCCTGGCTAAGTCAGTCCCTCTGCCCAGTTGGAGCCTGGTCGGGCCTGATACTGTGTATTTGCAAATGTCCAACAACCGCTGAAACTGGAGGAAGGAGATGTTGTACCCCATCTTTTCTGTTTTTGTTATTGGGCCACACCCGGCGATGCTCAGCTCTTACTCCCGACTCTGCACTCAGAAGTCACTCCTGGCGGTGCTTGGGGGATCGCATGGGATGCCGGGGACTTAATCCGGGTTGACCACGTGCAAGACAGATGCCCTCCCCGATGTGCTGTCACTCTGGCCCTGCTCATTGTTTCTTTTACAGTACAGAGAAGTTTCTTAGTCAGATAAAGTCCCATTTGTTTTATCTTTGCTTCCGTGTGCTTGGCAAATGGTCTTGAGTCATCAAAGGTGCTTCTAGATTCAGTGTCATAAAATATTCTTTATGACACATTTTCCTCAGTGTGTTATATGGACCCAGGTCTGACATCAAGGTCTTTCATCCATTTTGACGCTGTGTGAGAAACAGGCCTTTTCCCGGCAGCTCTTTTACTCATCGGCTTTCCTTGCTTCACTTTCCATTCCTTTCTCCTTTGTGAAGATTAACTGTCCATATACTTGGACTTCCCTCTGGCTTTCCAAGTGTGTTCCACCAATCTGAGAGTCTGTCCTGATTCCAGTACCACTGTCTGGATTTAAACTATTCTTTATGGTACAGTTTAAAATGGGGGTAAGATGGGGCTGGAGAGATAGCACAGGGGGTAGGGCGTTTGCCTTGCACGCAGCCGACCCGGGTTCGATTCCCAGCATCTTATGGTCCCCTGAGCACCGCCAGGAGTCACTCCTGAGTGCAGAGCCAGGAGTGACCCAAAAAAAGAAAAATAAAAAAATGGGGGTAAGAGAAGCAAACCCCCCCCACACACACACCCCGCTATCATTTTCCTGGACGGCAGGGCCGTTGGGGATTTTATAACTCCGTAGAAACTTCACCAGCATTTTGTCTTGCTTGATTGGTCTTGGGTAGAACAATGAAATCTGGAATATTTATGAAATGGGCTGTGGTACCTTGGAGTTGGGCTCATTACAGAAACGATGTGAGATTCGGTAAAGGTAGGGTAGAGCCTGCCCCAGGAGTGAAAAAGGAAGACTTAGCTCAATGGCAACACACGCACACACGCACACACACACACACACACACACACACACACACTTACACACAACGGTGGAGCGTCAAGTCCAACCCAGCACTGTGTAAAACGGTTTTATCACCCTCCCCATCACCTTGGGGGTCCCCAGACAATGAGGGGAGCATCATCGATGGGACCCCTCATTCCTTTGTTCTCATCCAATGTCTGTGGGACAGGCTGCCCCCTGTGGGCTGGGTACCAGGGAAAGAATGAGCCCAGTCAGAGAGGTCTAGCGCCTAGCGCCTGCTGGAAGGAATTCCTAATCTGTGCAGGGTTTGCTTCTTAAATCTGACAAATAAAGTCGAGCCACTTGGTAATACAGAGAAAAGTCACCTTAGAAACACAGGTAGGCCTAGTGGCCCCTGATGGGAAGGTGGTAGGGGCTTGGGATCCAACTGTGTTGGTGGAGGAGATCGGGCCCCAGATTACAGCACTGGTGAGGAAGCTCATCCTGAAGAAGCGGGAAGACTTGTAAACACTCTCGCCTGTCCTGCAGTTCCCAGCCCTCCCCGCCTTGCAGGGCTAACCAAAGCAAACTCAAATGGTGCTTTCAAGGGTGAAGTCACTGATGCTCCTTCCTCCACTCTTATCCTAGCTACCCTGTTCATCACTCCTGGTGGGAGGGAGGGAGGGAGGGAGAGAGGGAACATTCTATTAGATTATTTGCATTTCAGAACAACCCATTGAAACTCCTAACCAGTGAGTGCTCGTGCCCAATGAGTCATCAGCCAATAAGAACCTTTAGCCTAGGAGACCATGTGGCAAATGGCAGTATTTCAGGAATAATCTCCTCCCTGTCGAATGAGGTCAGTTCCTACATCCCAGTCTGTTGTGACAACTGAAAGAAAGCAGACGCACTCAATAAATAATTTTTGCATGGTCACGGTCACAGTCCTCCCGTTGTTCATCGATTTGCTCGAGCGGGCCCAGTAACGTCTCCAGTGTGAGACTTTGTTGTTACTGTGTTTGGCATACCGAATACGTCACGGGTAAGCTTGCCGGGGCTGGAGCATTTGCCTTGCACGCGACCAACATGGCCAACCTGAGTGTGAGTCCTCCACCCCTCTCGGAGAGCCCGGCAAGCTACCGAGAGTATCTCGCCAGCACAGCAAAGCCTGGCAATTTTTGCATATAAATAAAAAATTACTTGTGATCAATGTAAAAAAAAAAGAAAAAAAAAGAAACACAGGTAGGATGTTTGCCTTTCATGTGGCAGACCCAGGTTCAATCCCTGGCATCCTATATGGTCCCGCAAGCAATGCCAGGAGTGATTCCTGAGTGCAGAGCCAGGAGTAACCCCTGAGCATCGCCAGGTGTGACCCAAAAAGCAAAAAAAAAAAAAGGCAAAAAAAGAAAAAGAAATCCAGGGAGCCAGTTTAATCAGCTTAATCAATGGCTTAATCAAAAGAGGCACAGGGAGGGGGCTGGGGCTGGAGCAATAGTAGTCCAGCGAGTAGGGCGTTTGCCTTGCACGTGGCTGACCTGGGTTCGATTCCCAGCATCCCATATGGTCCCCCGAACACTGCCAGGGGTAATTCCTGAGTACAGAGTCAGGAGTAACCCCTGAGCATCACCGGGTGTGACCCAAAAAGAAAAACAAAAAAAGGAGCGATTGCACAGTGATCGGCAGCTTTGCATGCTGCCGACCCGGGTTCAATACCCAACACCCCAGGAGTAACCCCCGAACATCAAAAACCAATGAAAGAAAAAAGAAATAGGGCAGCAGGAAGCGGCAGGAAATTGGGGTCCCCGCTGGGAAAAGGCGCTTGATCTGGGCCCTCCTGTGTGGTTCCGGCTGTCACCAAGAATGTGAGTGCTGGGGAGGTGACCTGGGACGGCGCAGGAGGCGAGTGGGGGGGGCGGGGGCATGACCCCCGGGGACAGCCCTGCGCCCGTGGTGACCCTTCCCCTCCCACCCTGCAGAGAAGGCCAAGGCCTCCAACGGCTGCGTGCTGGTCCACTGCCTGGCCGGCATCTCGCGCTCGGCCACCATCGCCATCGCCTACATCATGAAGAGGATGGACATGTCCCTGGACGAGGCCTACAGGTGAGCCCGACAGGGAGCCAGGGACAGGGCGAGCTTCCGCGCTCAGTGCTCAGTGCTCCTTCCCCCAGGCGGCTCCTCTTGGGAACCCGGGAGCTCAGTGACGGCTGCTCGTCACCCTGTTCTGTCTGTAGCATTTTGGCCGGACTCCGCAGTGACCTGCCCTCAACCCCCGCCCATGAGAAACGAGGCAGCGGGGCTGGGGTGTGCTGGGTGAGGAGTGCCCGTGTCCCCCAGCGCTGTCTCGGGGCTGGTGACAAGTCCCTACTGGGGTGCGTCCCGTCTGCCAGACGTGGGCCCAAATGGCGTCTGCCTGAGGAAGGGGCAGGAGTGACCCCCTCCAGCCCCGACTGCCTGTGCCGGGCCACCCGGGGGGATCAGCGCCGGTGCCCTGGCGGGTCTGTCTCGCACGCGGGTGTCCCAGCATTGTCGCACGGGGCAGAGCAGCTGCTGAGGCGTGTGGTGGCGGGGGTCATCCCCATGTCTCGCCCACCACTGCCACGTGCCGGGGACACAGAGCCCGCCTGCAGAGCCAGCGCACAGACTGCCCCGTCGCGTCCACTTCAGAGGAACGAAGCCGAAACGGCTTTGACGCTCTAGTGGCCTCACACCCACCTTCTGGGCCCAGTTTTCATTTGCGGCCGGTCCTGGCTCTGTGATCAGAGCCAGAGACATGGCCCTTGTGTCTCTGGCCCTCCTCGGTCATAAATCACATGGTGCAGGGGAGGGTCCCCGCGTGGAGGGCAGGGCCGGCCCCTCAACCAGGCTCTCTGCAGACCAGGTGACCGAAGCGAGAGTCCTGGCCCCTGCCTGCACGCACCCGGGGGTCTCCCATGCAGGGCTCCTCTTGCCTGCCCCCGTGAAGGGGGTTCCTGGACCCGGTAGACCAATGTCCCTCCCCTCCCTCCCCGCCCCCGTGTCTGGGCGCTTCCACGAGGGCCCCATCTCCCTGCCCAGTGTCCTGAGCGTGTCTCCGTCCTCCCTCCCGCCCACCCCAGGTTCGTGAAGGAGAAGAGACCCACCATCTCGCCCAACTTCAACTTCCTGGGCCAGCTCCTGGAGTATGAAAAGAAGATCCAGGGTGGCACTCCAGGTCCCAGGAGCAGAGCCAAGGTGCCGCCCATGGAGCCGCTGCCGCTGCCCCCGCCAACGCCGCCACCACCACGAGAGCCGGGCCCCGCCGCCCCCGAGGCCCCCCGGGACGCCGCCTGCGCCCACCCCGCTACCTCAGAGGCCGCAGGGCCCCCGCCCGGGCGCCCCCCGCCCGAGGACGGCCCCCTGGTGCAGGCGCTCAACGGGCTGCACCTGCCCCCGGACAGGCTGGGGGACAGCAGCAAGCTCAAGCGCTCCTTCTCGCTGGACATCAAGTCCGTGTCGTACTCGGCCGGCGTGGCCGCCTCGGCGGCGCTGCACGCGCTGGCCGCCGACGAGGCCCTGGACTACTACAAGCCCTCGGCCGCGCTGGACGGGCCCGGCAAGCTGTGCCAGTTCTCCCCGGTGGAAGAGGTCTCGGAGCAGACCCCCGAGAGCAGCCCGGACCAGGAGCGGCCGCAGCCCGCCCGGCCACCGCCCGAGAGCCAGGGCCCGCGGCCACACCCGCCCCGGGTGCCCCCGCGGCCCCCGGTGCCTCCACCCCTGCACCGCAGCGGCAGCGTGGAAGACAATCACCACCCCGGCTTCCTCTTCGGCCTCAAGGGCTGGCATTCGGACATCCTGGCGCCCCCGGCTGCCCTCGCCAGCAGCTGGTATTTCGCCGCCGAGTCCTCCCACTTCTACCCGCCGACGGCGGCCGTGTACGGCGGCGGTGGCGGGGGCGGTGGCGGCTACTCGGCCTACAGCTGCGGCCAGCTGCCCACGTGCGGCGAGCAGGGCCTGTCGGTGCGCCGGCGGCACAAGCCCAGCGACCGCGCCGACTCGCGGCGCAGCTGGCACGAGGAGAGCCCCTTCGAGAAGCAGTTCAAGCGCCGCAGCTGCCAGATGGAGTTCGGCGAGGGGCTCCTGTCCGAGAGCCGCGCCCGGGAGGAGCTGGGCAAGGTGGGCAGCCAGTCGAGCTTCTCCGGCAGCATGGAGATCATCGAGGTGTCCTGAGCGGGCGGCGCCGGGCCCCCCGCGGACTAGTCCCTGTAAATCTGAAAGAGAGAAATATATCTTATCTGTACATACATCCGTATCGGGGGGGAAGCGGAGCCACGGGGTCAGAGAGCCACGCGGGGGCCGCCGCGCGGTTGTACACCCTTCCAGCCACCAAAGGGTGGACGCCAGACCGCCCCGCGGTGGCTCGGCATCCGAGGAGGCCCGGACGGTGCCCGCCAGATCTCAGAGGCTCGTCTCTGCCTTGCCCCTTCCCTGCCCCTCTTTGCGCTGACACTGAGCCAGCTTGTGGGGCGCTGGCAGGCCCTGCCCGGGACAGCGCCCGTCCGAGCGGTAGATCCCGGAGAAACGGTCAGTGGCGCCCGCATCCCCCACCCCGTCCTTGCTCTGCGGGGCCTTGCGGAGATCTGCCTCCGAGCAGACCCAGTACCTCAGACCACACAGCCGGGGCCTCGCCACCCCCACAACCCGCCGCCTGTCTTCTAGGCATTGTGAATAGGTAGGTAGCTAGCGACACTCAGACCAATCCACACCGTCTCTGCGCGCTCCCGGGCGGGCGGGACGGGGCCGGTTCCTTTCTTTTTTCTCCTCTTTTTTTTTTTCTCAGCGTTTCACAAAATGAGAGGAGGGGGAGCATCTAGAAAATCAGTCTAGCATCATGATTTGTAAGCTAAAATATGTATGGGGGGAGGGGAAGGCAGCCCCACCCCCAACCTCCACCCCTCACCCCTGCTCTAAATCAAAGCTGTCCAGAACAGTCAACCCTTAAATAAGGAATAAACTTGGGGGCGGGGAGGGCAGACAGGTGCCTTTCCTTGGGCAGAGAGCGGGGCAACCGCACCGCGGGCTCCTGGCCAGGGCCGGTGGTGAGTGGCCGCGGAGACGCCCTGGGTGTCACTGCAGAAAGGCAGGACGTGCCAGGGACAGAAGACCTGAGAAGGTTCCACGAGTAGTGAGCGACAGGTGCTGGTGCTCGCGGGTCGAGAAAGGGAGGTTCCGTAGGCACAGGACAGGACAGGAAGGGCCCGGGGGAGAGGCTGGCAAGCTACCATCAGTGGTGTCGTCGTTCGAGAAGGAGCAGAGGAGACGCTGGGACCAGGCTCCCTCCGTCCCTGACCCGCGGTCACGGTGTGGACACAGCTCGGGCCACTGGACACGGGGTGCCTCCAGCGACTTCCAGCCGTGCCAGGGGCGAGTGGGGGCCTCCTCCCCCCACCCCCCGGGGAAGCCTGCGCTGCCCAGCCCTGACCTTTCCTGGAGCGTAGCTAGTTGCTGACTCAAATCTCAGGTTTTTCGATGTTGGAGGCATGCATGGTCCATTGACGAGGCGACTTAACCGTTTCCTCAGGCGACCCAGAACACACTTTGGCTGGGCACGGGGTGAGGACAGAAGGGGCAGTGTCCTGCTCCGTGACGCGAGCTCGCCCCTGTCACCTGCAGTTCTGGATGTGACCGGGCTGCCCCGCCTCTCCGTGCCCCAAGAGTTCTGTGGGTCCGTGTCGGGGAGGGATGGGGGGGCCCTCCATCCTCGGGGATCCTTCCTGGCCACCGTCCTCTCTTCTGTCACCACGGTCTTCGTTCTTTGGTTGCTTCTGTCAAGGAATGAAGCACCAGAGGCCAGCCCCGAGGTGCGAGGTGGCGGGCGTGGAGGAGAGGTGGTGTCCAGGCTCGAGCCAGACGCCCACGAGACACACTGGGGAACGGGGAAGGACACGTGCCAAGTTGGGTGGTCAGACTGTACAGCTGTTTCGCGTGAACCGTGTTCCTTTGGAAGAAGGCAAGCTGCTGAATGGTTCTATTGTGCAGTTCTTGTTTGATGTGTCATGTATGTTAATATGATGGAATAAAATCAAAACTGGTACCTGTTTATACGTAAGGACGCGAAGGGCTCCCTCTTTGCAGCTGTGCGCGGTGTCAACAGCAGCATCCAGGCCGTGGAGGAGGCGGGGTGGGGTGTGGGGTGAAGAGGGGGTGTCTTACAAAGTGGGGTCTCGCTCCTACTTCCCAAATGTGGCAGAGAAACACACACTACAGGGGGCCAGAAAGGTAGTCCAGTGGGTAGTGCACTTGCCTTGGCTGACCCAGTTTCAATCGTGGCATCCCATAGGACCCCTGAGCCCAACAGAAGTGATTCTTGAATGCAGAACCAAGAGTAATCCTTAAGCATTACTGGGTGTGGCCCAAATACAATGAAACAAAGAGCCCCCCACTCCTGAACACATAATGCAGGGAAAGCCCTAAATCACTTGGGAACCCCCCCCACCGAGCCCAGCATCCACTGCAAGCACCACAAAGGGTTCTGGGAGGGCACCCTGAGGGGAACTGCAGCAGCCCCTGAGGCACCGGGCTCCATGCCCAGGATCTGATTCCCAAACCTCAGTCATGGATGACCTGTCGGCCACAAACCTTACTGAAAAGGAAAACGGCTGATAAACATATTTCATGCATTATGCTTACTCTCCCTTCCCCCTCCCTCCCTCCCCGTTACGGGTCATGACCTGTGGTCATTCCTGGCACTAAGCTCAGGGATCCATCCCTCCTGGAGGGCTCGGGGACCCTACGTGGTACCCGGTTTGGCCACATGCAAGCATCCTACCTGCTCTACTATGTCTCTGGTCCAGTTGATGCTGTAATCTTTAAGCCAGAACAGGAATTGTTAAGGAACTCATGAGAAAATGCAGTACTTCCCTGTATTAATCAGCATGAAGTGCCCATCGGCTGTTTACAAGATCATCTGCCTGTGAGTGGCCCTGTGGGGGACCATATTCAAGAGCTGTCACCAAAGACCTCTTGCCATCGCTGCCCCGTGTCCCTTCACAACCCAGCGTACTTAGAAGTGGTTCTGGGCATGAACTAGAAGCAGAGCTTCCGATGATCGAGAATTAGGACCCAGGGGCTGGGGAGGCAGGTCCAGGGCACATGCCCGAGGCCCTGAGTCCCATGTCCAGTGTCCACAGCTCCTCCAGACCCCTACTGGACACCGCCCTGGACGCCCCTAGCACTAGACCCGAGCACCGAATCAATTGGTCAGGTGTGGGGAGTAACCCCCAGGGCCCCTGGGCACTGATTGCCCCCCCACCCCCGACCCTCAGAGAACAATTTTTTTTTTAATCATGCACTAAGGAACGAAATGAGCTCTGGTAGATGTGGAGATTAGAATCAGGGCAGGGCGGGCTGAGGACACAGAGGGTGGGATTAGGTGTGGCCAGGGTCGAGGGACAAAGGGGGAAATCGGGAGAGGGCAGCCCAGGTCCACCTCTGGGGCTGGATGGAACCGGAGGGAACGGGTCTCCATGAGAGTCTGCGGGGAAAACCTGACGTCAAGCCGCTTAGTCCTGCAATGCAGCCAGAAATCGTCCTGGACAATGGCCTGATGGCCAAGGGCTCGGGGTCTGAGGGGCGATGGACCAGGGCTTCGACGTTACAAAGAACAGCAAAAGCAGATGGACCCCAGGGCCCAGGAAAGGACGTGAAGGGAAGGTGTGCGTATGGACCAGTGCGTGAAGATGTTTACCCGCCAAACCTCCTTGGCACCGAATTTTATTTTCAGTCCTCTCTCCGGTTTTGTTTTTCCAAGCAGGAATGTCTGAGGTTTAGTAAACAGTTTTCCCTCTGGTTTTTTTTTTTTTTTGGTGTGTGTGTGAATATTATTGTTTTGCATCTATAAAGAGCGGAGCAAGTTATTCGTAGCCCTGGAGGGCTTATACACGCTGACACCTTTAATCCTCAGCACCCTAAGGTGTTGCGAGATCCACACCATCAACTTCCTGGAGGACGTTTAACCAGGCGACTGTGTCATGGCAGGTTACTTGCAGACGCGTCCAGTCGGCTGATATCAAAATAGAAGCTTCATGCCTTTGGCTGCAGCTCAAACACGAGGTCAGCTGGGAATGCAGTCCCGGGGGGGCAATGCGGAATGTGGCCTTGGGGGGAGCCGGGCCCCGGGAGACTCGGAGACAGTTGGTTCCACTCTGCTGCACTCTGGCCGGGGATGCAGGGGAATGAACGTTTCAGAAACGGAGTCAGACCAAGTGGGCTGAGAGAAGTTATCACACCGGGTCGCAGCAAGCACCCCGCGGGGGGTGAGGCCCACCAGGCCTGGCTGATGACCGACACCCTGAACAGAATCCCCAGCCACCCTGATGGCAGCATCAGAGCCACGGGACACACACGGGACTAGGGGCAAATCCCCCCGCTACACCTCCCCTCCCCACCACCAAGTTTGAAGCGTGTGCGTTAACAGCTGGTTACTCCTCCCTTCTAGACAGAGCACTGGAGTAGGAGCTGAGTACCTGGCATGGGTGGGAATTTGGGTTTCTCAGCAGCAGGTTTTGGTGTCCGTGGGACAGAGAAGGGACAAGAAGCTCAAAAGCGACTTCTCGTGCATGGTTAAACCTCTGCACCCCCCAAAGCACATGCCCAGGGCCTGGCTGCAGTGCAAGGCAAGCGGCAGGGAAACGGTCTCCCTAACAGGACTCCCGGGAGCGGCTAGAGGAAGCTCCACCATCTGACAGCCCCGGTGCCAGATCTGCCCCCCCCCCGCCCCCCCCCCCCCCCCCCCCCCCCCCGGGCACCGGGCTTGGATCCTGCAAATGGCAACACTCCCGGTCTCGCGTAGGTAAGGAGGGAAACCAGCCAAATGGCCAGAAACGCTTCATCCCGAGAACGGCTCATTCCTCTGGCCGAGGAGGCGCTGGGCTTGTGGCCCTGGGCTCTGCGCCCTGGGAGGCGGCCAGCTCCTGCTGGAGGGGGCTGGACACAAGGCGCGGGGAGTCTCAGTGACCTGCGAGAGGGCAAGCCGAGAGCCCCCCGCCCCCCCCAGCCAGGGACCGGCTCGACCAACTAACGGCAAGCAAACAACGTCCCTCGTGGCCAACTCGAACCAGAAACGCGAACGGGAAAGAGGATTCTGGGAAGCCGCTCAGCTTAGCCAAGTTGAGAACATTGTGAAACCGCGGCACGCCATAAATATTAAATCATCTAAATTAAAAAAAAAAAGTAAAATAAAAAGGGCGGGGGTGGGGAATTTCTCGACTTCTCTTTTCTGCCCAGTAATAGGCAGCCGTCCATCCTGGGGACCCAAAGTCACGGCCATGTTTTGTCTAACTTCTAAGAAGGGAGTTGACGGAGGACGAGTGGGCAGCCTGTGTCCCAGCGGCCGCGCCAGCGTCTTGCGGGCCCTGGGCTGTGCCGTCATCCATGTAGAAACGGAATTAAGCACAGTGGGGAGAAGGGCCCTGGGCCCTGGGCGGTATTCACAGCTCCGCAGACAACCTTCAATTCTTTGAAAGCTACCAGCAACGTTCCCATAAACGTCAGAAACACCCCCGGAAGACAAGATGGCCAGGCCTTTAAGATGCTCTTCCCAAGGCCAGGGTGATGGAGCAGCACAGGGCCGGGCCTCACACTAGGCATGCAGGAGCCCTGGCTTCCAGCACCGGCACCAAATGGTCTGTCTACCCGCCCCCACCCCCAAACCAGGACCAACCTTGGAGCATTGCCAGGTGTGCCCCCCCCCAAACACACACACACACACACACACACACACACACACACACACACATACACACACACGTCATTCATTTCCTGACAAACTCACAGAAGAGATAGGGGTTTACCTTGTGTTGTATTTCCAATTTTTCGGTCAGTTGAAATTAAATTTAGAGGCTGGAGTGATAGTACAGTGGGTAGGGCACTTGCCTTGCATGCAGCAAACCCAGGTGCGATCCCCAGAATCACATTTGGTCACTGCAGTCTGTCAGGAGTGACCCCTGAGCACAGAACCAAAAGTAAGCCTTGAGAACTGCGGGGTGTGGCACCTCCCGATTTTTTTAAAATAAAGTTAGGGAGAATTAGTCGGGTAGTTGAGATCTAGTCTAGCTACACTAAAGAGCAAAGTATATTATAAAATTGTAATATTGGGGGCTGCAGAGATATTACAGTGGGGTAAGGCCCCTGCCTTGCATCCCATAGAGTCCTCTGAGCACCTCCAGGAGTGATTCCTAAATGCAGAGCCAGGTGTGACCCCTGAGCATTGCATGGGGTCTGACCCAAAAACAACACAAAAAGCAGTATTAGAACAGGAGAAAACGGAACAAAATCCAGCCCAAAATGGTGTGTCGAGGAAGATGTGCAGATGAGAACGGGATGCAGTTGCTCCTCATTTACCCGGAGACTTAGGGGGCCCCACCTCAGGGGAGAGGCGCCATCCCCTAAACGCTCCGCCCCTCCGCCCCTCCGCCCCACCTCAGCATCCCCCAGAACAGCGGCCACTTGGGAGGTCTCTGAGTCACAGCAAATAGCTTCATCTGGGCCTCTGGTGTGCTGATCTAGAAACGGGTTAAGGCCCAACTACCAGCCAAGAACCCTCATTGGCAGAGACAGACAAGCTCCTCCCACCCGCGCAGCACGGCCAATGAGAGGCTGAGCGCCCCACACCCCTCCCTGCACCCCACCTCCCCACCATCAGGTATGGGGGGGGCTGGACAGAGGAGGTGAAGCTCCCCCCTCCCCCGCGCTAGTTTCCAGTTGCTTCTCCAGCTCCCAGGGAACAAACAAGCTCGATTCTTGGTGGTTTTGTCTTTCAGTCGTCAGAAAGTCCTAGAAACTTTTGGCTTTTTCCCGACTGTGAATGAATTAAAATTTCATTTTCCATATTACCTCGGAATTTTCCTCTTTGTTCCGTCAGCCAGCTGCTTATGGCCAGTGTTTTATTCTGGCTTCTAGGAACCTTCTCACATCGGATGAGAAGCCAAGCTCTGGATGGCTGGAGCACAGTCTGGGGGGTCAGGATGCGCATGGCCCACCGCAGTTCAACCATGCCAGCAACCAGGAGCCTCTGGGCAGGGTCTCGTCACCCGGGGGCCCCCAGCACCACACCCTTGGGTTGTGCTGCAATGAACCATCTGGCTGACCACCACAGAATGGCCGCTGGGCCCCTGAGCACTGCCTGATTAAAAGCCAAGATAACAAACTTTATTTGGGTACAATTTACCGGAGACACTTTTTTAAAAAAAACATTAATTTATTTGCTTTTTGGGTCACACCTGGTGAGGCACAGAGGTTATTCCTGGCTCTGCACTCAGGAGTTACTCCTGGTGGTGTTCAGGGGACCCTATGGGATGCTGGAGATTGAACCCGGGTCGGCTGCATGCAAGGCAAACAAACACCCTACCCGCCGTGCTATTGTTCCAGCCCCCCCCCCCCGCCCCCCGAGACACACTTAAGGAGGAACACCTGAAGTTCATAAATACACCACAGGCCATTTCTGACATCTATGGAACAACTGCGGGGATACCACACCCCCATCCCACCGTCCTGCTGAGTGTGTCAGGGTGATGGGCCTTGTGCCAGCCCCACGCCCGCCTGCAGCCCCTCAAGCCCACCGGGTGCTCAGCGGTGCAGGGCCTCTACAACCCCCTCTGCTAGCTGCCGCTGCTCACCCAGAGAGCAGAGTTCTGTCGAGAAGCTGGCCGGGATCAGCGGGTCTGACAGGGCATCTCCCCACGGTCTATTCGGAGACCAACAGGTGACACGTCTGCGGCCTGCAGGAACACGCTCTCGACCTGAACTCGGTGCTAGAGGGGCCCCTGCCTGGCAACACTCAAGAATCAACCAGGGAATGCAGGCTGGAGTGACGGTATGGCAAGGGAGGGCGTTTCCTGACCTGGGTTCAATCCCCGGCATCCCATATGGTCCCCTGAGCACTTAAACCTTGAGCATCGCCAGATGTGGCCAAAAAAGAAAAAAACCCAAAAGACAAAAAACAAAACAAACAAAAACAGATAATGAAACCGGAGGATAGCAGCAGCAAGCCAAGGAACACATATCCCAGAAGAAGCTGCACAGGGTAGAAAACTTAGCCAGAGAAATAATGGCGGGAAAGTTCCCAAATCTGAGGAAGGAAACAGCCACCAGGTAGAGGAAGCACAGGAACTGTCGGGGGATAACCCCAGCGGGAGCTGCAGTGCCAGGCGTGCTGGGCCCACGCTGCCCCATGGGAGAGGAACAGCGTGTGCGAGGGAACCCCCCTCGAGATCTGCTGTGGGGTTCCAGCAGAGGTGTGGAGGATGAAGGGAGATCCCGACTCTGCCGAACTCTGCCCCTTGGGCCACGGCTCGGGAGCGAAGGAGAGCTGGAGTGCTCCATACCCAGGGGCTGTCGGCAGCTGAAAATCAACAGCACTGAAGAGTAGTGAGAGAAAAAAGTCCTTCCCAGCAGAAGTAAACAAAGGAATCGGTGGTGGATCAAGCCCAGCACCCAGGTTAAAAGACCAAAGCAGGGGAAGGGTGCTGGGGAGTGCGGTGACAGGACTTTGCGTGAGGAGCCAGCAGCTCTCCACACATGCCGAGTGCAGACCTCATAGTCCGGAATCCCTGGCAACACTACAAAGTGTGTGACTACGGCTGCCCCGCAACTAAGTGGGTCTGAGCACTGAAACCAAGCAGGTGAGCCCCAGCAACCAAGTGTGTGGGCACCACAACACATATACACATGGAATACTACGTGGCCATGAAAAATGAACCCATGCCATTTGGCGCAGTTTATATGCTGAGTGAAATTAATCAGAGAAAGAAAAATGCCAGATGATATCCCTCATTTCTATGATTTGGAAAAAAAATTAAAACTCATAGACACTGAAATTAAGGTGACTGCCAGAGGAAAGGGGCCAAGGCCTAGGAGAGACGTGTGAAGGGAACCAGGGGGTCTAAATATACAGATATCCGAAAAAGAAGTAAGTTCTGGGAGATGTTCTGGGGAAGACCCCAGTGTACCTCAAGGGACCCACAGGAAATACAGTATTTTAATTGGGGGGGGGCTGGGGACTAAAGCGAGGAGTGCTCAGGGGCTACTCCCAGCTCTGTGCTCAGGGGACTGAACCCAGGCATCCCTCTTCTGGGCCTCCCGCCCACTCTTTGTTTTTTGTGACCCGCAGAGGGTAGGTCCGAGTCCTTCTGCGCTGTCCTTCCCGAATGCCTTCATAGCCCTCCTCTCCCCTCGAAATCCAGAGCTCCTCTGTCCGGCTGGCCCCGTGCCGTTGGGCTGGCTGCTGGCCCCTTGGGCCCGCGCAGGCCACACAGACCACCTGGGTGGCATTTGCATGGCTTGTGTCAAAGTTCTGGGGCTGACAGCACTAGTAACACAGGCGCCGGCTCCGAGCTCGTCGCAGAAACCATTGTCCTGCAGTGCGGGGAGAAAAATCTGACCCTGAACCAGGAGCGTGCCAACAGCGAGGGACCCTGGTGATAGCAGAGGGCGGATGCTGGGTGGGCTGACGACGGGACAGATGCGACCGGGAAGAAGAAGGAGCAAGAGCACAGACAGACCTGGATCCAACAGGCTCTTTATGGGGACAAACCACAGTCCGGACACGGGAGGACGGGGACACTGTGCTGCCGCCAAGGCCCCTCCGTGCCCTCCTTCCACGCTGCAGGCTGGACGGGGTGGGCTCCGCTCTGCAGGCCTGGAGGAGCCACGGGACCCACCGATGGTTCCCGGGGCGGAGTCGGCCGAGAATCCCTACCCGTGTCCCGGTTCCAAGGTGGCCGGGCCCCCCCACCCCGCGGACTGGGCTGCTGCCCTCGGCCCAGGCCGGCACAGAACAGCCCCTTCCGGCCTCGAACCTGGGTGCCCCCTCCGCCCTCCCCCGGGCCCTAGAGCCGCAGCGCCCGCTCGGGCTTCATGCTGAAGGGCTCCAGGCGCTCGCCCTCGGGCAGCATGCTGTTGAGTCTCTCCAGCAACGGCACCGTCTGGTCGATGCCCATCTGGATGCGGCGCAGGATGGCCGACATCTCGTTGACCTTCTGCATCTGCTCCGCGTACTTGGCGTAGCGCTTCTGGCGCTCCTGCATGAAGCTGAAGAGGCTCTCGACCGACAGGTCCATCTGCGAGGGGGCGAGGAGGAGAGAGAGGCGTCAGCCGGAGGGACCTGGGGGCTGGCCTTCACCAGCGGGCATGGGGACTGGAGCCCGGGAGACACACAGGGGCTGGACAAACCCGTCTCGGCAGGACACTCTGGTCTCCGGCGTGGGTGCGCTGGCCACGGGACGCAAGTGCCCGGCGGGGCCGGCTGCTCTCTCGCCCGTGGCTCCCCGCCCCCCTGCTCCCCGAGCCCGAGTGACCAGGGGCACCGCGGTGCTTTTGGAAGCTCTGGGTTGGGCTCCCTGGAGCCCCTTCTCAAAGCTGGGACCTGACCTTTCCCCAGGTGAGGGGCAACCCAGCTCTGCTGAGAAGAGCAGGGACAGACGGTCAGAGCACACACAGACAGAGTCCAGCGGTACAAGCCCCTCGACATGGCCTGCGGCTGATGGGACGGGGGTCACCATCTGGGCTCTGCCTGTCATTGGCTTTGTGGTCTCGGACCAAACTCTGAGCTCAGCCACCCCACTCCCCCCGCCCCCCGCCCCTCCCGGAACATGACAGCTCCGGCGGGGAGGGGCTGATGTGACAACAAGACACGGTGCACCAGATGGCCGCAGGGACAGAAACCACCGGGGCGGCTGTGGGAACCTGCCTCTCCCGAAAGATGAGAGAGCAAGGTGAGACACTCGGGCAGCGAGGACAGAGAAGAGGGGACACCAGGAGGGGACCACACGCAACCCGGGGCCTCCTGCAAGTCCCGCCCATCACGGGAACGGGCTCTGCTGACCAGTCACTCTCTGCTTTTTGCCGACACCTTTTGTTTTCATTCTGAACTTCTGTGACTGACATCTTCCCGGAGTCGCACTGTTCGTGCCAGGGATGCCCGACCAACACTGCAAGGGACACGGTAGCAGAAACCAACATTTACCTGCGCCGTCCCCCGTGGCGCTGGTCTCTGATGGACTCAGGAGGACGAGTATTACCACAGTCCCATACTTTCCAAGATAGGAAAAATGTTTTTCTTTAAGATTGGGGGGGGCCAGAACAGGAGGTTTGCCTTGCACGAGGCTGACCCAGGTTTGGTTCCCGGCACCCCATATGGTCCTCTGAGCCTGCCAGAAATAAAGCTGGATGTGGAACCCCCCAGAGAGAGAGAGAGGGAGAGAGAGGGAGAGAGAGGAAGGGAGAGGAGGAGAGGGAGAGAGAGGGTGAGAGGGAGAGAGAGAGAGAGAGAAAGGGAGAGAGGAAGGGAGAGAGGGAGGGGGCAGGGAGAGAGAGGGAGGGACAGAGAGACAGAGAGGGTGAGGGAGGGAGGGAGGGAGGGAGGGAGGGAGGGAGAAGGAAGGAGGGAGAGAGAGAGAGACATTGATAGCTAGAAAGGCAGCTCAGGGCTAGGTGCTGGCCTTCCAAGCACCCAGTCTGACCCCGGTCTGATCCCCAGCAAACCTCACCAGGAGTGACCCCTGAGCACCACCAGGTGTGGTCCCCTTATAAACAAACAATCCTTTACAAGATATCTTGAAAGAAAGTTCACAGCTTTAGTCAACGGGATCTGCTTCACAAGAGGACTGCTTTGAGAATTTTGCTACAAGAGTTTCCAGATGAAAGTTGATTTGGGACAGTGACATCAGATGTCAAATACTTGATGTGACAACCTTTTAAAGGAGAGATCTTTTCTTTTTGTGAGGGGGAGTCGGAAGGACGTATCCGCCCTGGTAAAAATGAGCTGTTCAAAGTAGCAATATCCCCTACAGAGGTCTCCAGTTTTTAAAAAAACATATTCTAGGTACGATGACATGTTGCCACATATGGCCATATACAATGGCACTGACTTTTAGGGTCAGAGGCCTTTCATCTAAGTTTACAACGGCAAGTGATGAAGGGCTAGAGAGCATAGGGGCCGGGCGCTGGCCTTGCTCCACCCGGCATTCCAGATCATCCCAGATGACCTCCCAAGTCCAGCCACGAGAGATCCTTGAGTGCAGAACCAGGAGTAAGCCCTGAGTACCCCAGTACCTGAGTCCCCCAACCCCACACCCTTAAAAAATGGCTAAAAACAAGTTTAAAATGTTTCATAGATCAAAAGGAAAATAAGTTGGTCAGCCATGTCCCTCCGCAAACCAAATTCCAGTCTCCGATGGATAGAGGCCGTGATCTGTCCTGTTCCTGAATTCCAGAGTTTCTAGGAGACTTAAATAATAAAAAAAAAAGGCTTAAGGACTTAAGACAAATTATTTTCCTCCCTTTTAACTGAATCACCGTGAGAGACACAGTTACAAAGTTGTTTGTTGTTGGGTGTCAGTCATACCATGCTTCGACAACCATCCCTTCACCGGGGTCCATGTCCCACCACCAGTGATGTCCCCGTCAGACTGAATTTTTTAGAAGTGCTCCCTCTCTCCCATCCCCCAAGCTCATTTTTCAGAATATCTCTGTGACTCAAGTCTCCTGTTACTGGGTCTGATCAGCTGTTACTGGGTCTCCCTGGATAGTGCTTCTCTGCTGCTTCCCGGGAGGGCATCTGAAGGGTACGGGCGTGAAGAGGAACGGCCGTGTGGGCGTGACCCAGCAAATCACGAGGTTCCGCCCTCACCTGACCCCCAAATCCAGCCCACCCTCCTCCTTCCTCTGGATGGGCACAACTTTCTGAGGCCCCAAACTTAATGGGTAGCGCCGACACAGAATCGGGCTCTTCCTGGTCAAAGTGGTGAAACGGCGGGGCAGGCAGGACAGGGCGGACAAGGGTGGCCTGTCCGTGGCCCATGGCCGACCCGGGTTCGAGTCCAGGATACTGCGCATGTCCCCTAGGCTGGCCAGGAGTGGTCTGCAGATGGATAAAAAAGTCAGACTCCAATGAACTAAATGGCCATGGGCAGAGCTTTTTCTAAAGAGTGGATTCAGGTCAGAGAGAATGTACAGGGTCCCGAGGCACGAGCCTTGCATGTGGCTGACCCCAGTTCCATCCTCAGGACCAGGCAGTCCACGGGTCACTGTGGGGAGCAACCCCTGGAGCACAGTTTGGTGTGGCCATAAACCCACCTACTCCCCCGTCCAAAAAAAAAAAAAAGGTATCTTAAGACAATAAATTCCACCCAATATGACTGGAGACCTGGTTTTCATGGTACTGAAACAGAAGACCAGTTGTAGTTACTGGTTTTGTCATATCGAATACACAACGGATAGCTTGCCAGGCTCTTCCGTGCGGGCGGAATACTCTCGGTAGCTTGCCAGTCTTTCCGAGAGGGATAGAGGCTTTTGGGGCGACCTCTAATCACCCTTGTAGGTGTTACCATATTTGAACCTTATCAAATATGGTACGACAATTCCGGAAGATGGGTATTTAGTGTCTTGTGATGTGTCGCGCGGCCGCTTTCCGGACCCGCGTGGCAGCTCCGGCCGAGACTCACGCACGTAAAGCGCCCTGGAGTGTGGCGACGGCTGGGTAGTGGAGGTAGTGTCGATACACTAGCACGCGACAGGAACAAATGGAGACGTTACTGGCGCCCGCTCGAGCAAACCGACGACTAACGGGAAGTTAAGTGATTAAGTGAAACAGAAGACATTCTGAATTATAGGACCACTAAAAAAAAAAGATAGCTCCTTTTTGTTTGTTTGTTTTTTTTTTTTAATTTTTGCTTTTTGGGTCACACCCGGTTTTGCACAGGGGTTACTCCTGGCTCATGCACTCAGGAATTACTCCTGGCGGTGTTCAGGGGACCATATGGGATGCTGGGAATCGAACCCGGGTCGGCCGCATGCGAGGCAAACGCCCTACGTGCTGTGCTATCTCTCCAGCCCCTGATAGCTCCGTTCCCCCCCCCCCCCCCCCATTGCTTTTCATCCTTTCCCCTGTTCTGAGTCCGCGAACTCTACCTTCCCAATTACAGAGCAACCCGCACTGTCCCAAGGGCGGAATCCGGGGTTGCAAATCCCACGTTTCTCCAAGGAAACGCAGTCTGGCAACAGACCCCGGGCAAATGGCCAACATCAGCCAATGGGGGAGCTATTCCTCAGAGCCAGAGAGAGGCTGCAGTCATCCTGGGATGTGCAGGAGAGAGGAGACAAGGACGAGGAGGAGTGAGGCGGGGACCCAGGAACCTCACATTCGGCTGATGGGAATGCAGAATGGTGCCGCTCTGAAAGACGGTCTGAGAGTTTCCTCAAAAATTAAGCAGGTGGGGCTGGAGCGATAGCACAGCAGAGAGGGCGTTTGCCTTGCATGCGACCGACCCAGGTTCGATTCCCAGCATCCCCTATGGTCCCTCAAGCATCCCATATGGTCCCCTGAACACCACCAGGAGTAATTCCTGAGTACAGAGCCAGGAGTAACCCCTGAGCATTGCCAGTTGTGACCAAAAAAGAAAAAAAAAAAAAAGAAAAATTTAGCAGGGAATTAAGGGCACACCTGGCTAGGCTCAGAGTTTCCTCCTGGCTCAGTGTTCATGGATCACTCCTGCAGTGGGGGTGGGGTAGCGGGGCACATGCTTAATGATGGAAATGTTGGCATCTCCCCCAAACTCATACGGGGCTGTGACCCAGGGCTTAAAGGGCTGAGGCTTGTCTCAGCAGGGGAGCACTTGTGTGGACCCTGGATGCAACTCTCCGTAGCACCCCAAATAAGAATATCCAGTGAGGCCATTTGTATGGGACCAGGCGATAACTCTTAGGGATGGAGCGCACACTTTGCATGCAGGACAGCCAGCCTGGATCCCTGGAAATGTTGACAGATACATTTTGACTGAAATTATTTTTTAAAACGTATCTGCCGTGGGGCTGGAGAGATAGCACAGTGGGTAAGGCGTTTGCCTTGCACGTGGCCGGCCAACTGGGTTTGATTCCCAGCATCCCATATGGTCCACCAGGAGTAACTCCTGAGTGCAGAGCCAGGAGTAACCCCTGTGCATCGCCAGGTGTGACCCAAAAAGCAAAAAAAAAAAAAAACCCACAAACAAAAAAAGTATTTGCCTTGCATGTGGCCGACCCAACCAATCCAGGTTCAATTCCTCCACCCCTCTCGGAGAGC